TCGTATTCACGACGCTGTGTGCGGCTCACTCGTTCGCCGTTTCAGTGCATAGTATTTGCAACAAATCATACGATGACGATGCCTTTGATACGCTAAAGAGGTTATTCGACATCAGTGACGAAGAACAGAAACCGATATTGGTCGATGCCCAAGACAAATGGGGCTGGACACCACTGCACATCGCTGTGCACAGGAAACAAGCACGCTTGATCAGATTGCTGCTGAATAGAGGCGCCAATCCGAACACAGCCAATGCGAAAGGAGAGACTCCATTGCACAAGATTTGCGAGTTATGTGAAATTGAGACAATCGCAGTGGTGAATATGTGTATGATCCCGTTCCGCGAAGTCAAAGAGCGGGTACAGGCCGACATTCGGGACAACAAGGGTAACGCACCGTTGCACATAGCTTTGGACGAAGGATACAAAAACTTGATCGAGTGGCTTCTGAGGATCGGCGCCGATCCCAATTGCGCCAACAAGAACGGAGAGACTGCACTACATATCATTATCGATCGCCACACTGGTTCTCTTTACGATAAGGAATTGGTAGAAGAATTCTTCAAAATCGTCGACGACGAACGGCTGACGTTGCAGATCGACGTAAAGAATAATTCAGGCCGGACGCCGCTTCAATGTGCCGCAGCGAATCTTCTGCCCGAGGTGGTCGGTGTACTCTTGGATCGTGGCGCTGATCTGGCCAACTTCGTTTTTCCTACTTTGTGCGGGGAATTCGGAAAGGATCCGGAGTGGAAATTAACGGCGCCCTGTAGAGCTGTGGGCGTCGTCGAACAGTTGAAAGGAAGAGGATACGAACTGGATCGAAGCCATGCTATGATGATTATGAAATTTCTCTGTCGGCTAAGATTGTTCGTGCGGTCGGTGGCTGGACAAAAAGGATGGTACGATGACAGCAAAGCAAAAAACATAATGGTAAAATCGGATCTGTCTCTTCACGACCTGGCTCACTTACGACCTGAAGAGGTGGCAAAACTACTCAATTATAAAGATTGTTTGGACCTCGTAACCTCGGAACAATTTCGCAAACTTCCCCATAGATCTAGAAAGGCTTATACCGTGTACCTTGGCGAGATAACAGCGAGAAGATTTTTCCTGCGGTGGGCGCTGGATCCTTTTATGGAGTTGATACACTATCGATTACCGCATCTCTGCTGTGATATGATCATCGAGAATCTGGAAAACAAAGATTTATATAATATTTGCTTGGCTCGTTCGTAATTACTCGTTATTTTCATTACTTATTTTGGATAGTGAAAAATTTTAAATTGTACAGAAATAATGAAGGAGGACAATCTAGTAACAAATAAATACAAAAATTGTAAACTTTTCATAATTCAATATGTCTATTAGTATAAAAACAATAATCTTAATGATCCTCGAAAATATCTTTTTTTTACTAACGAATGTAACTATTCAAATAAATAATAAAATGATAATACCTATAATGTTAACCAAAAATAGCAGAACTTATGTGGTTCTGCAGAAGTTAAAATTAATTAAGGAGGTTCGGGAGTCTCAGAGGGGGACGAAGCGGGACGCGAGG